AATTGTGCAAAAGAAGCTGCCAAAGTGAAGGAATCATGGGAAGGCAACTGAGGACCCCCTCCTTTCTTCAAACTGTCATCTTTATTTTTTCATCAATGATCTAAATCTTGTGTACCATTCCATTTCTAGATGAGAAGGGCAGGGCATCCCATGAATTAATTTCTGGGGAAAAAAACCAAACAACAAACAATAAATTACTTACAAAGCTCCTCTCTGTCAAAAGCTTGTCCACTTCCTCCAAACAGTCCTTTGAGAAAGCCTCTGTTTTGGGCTTCTGGTGTTTCCACAGGAGTAAACAAATCCCCAAGCATGTCCTAGCAAAATCAGTCCATGTGAAAAATTAGTGAGGTAAAAGCAGTTCTAGGTGTTTTCTTTATTGGCATTAATGAGCCACATGCATTGGATCTAATCAACTAGTTTTAAAAGCGTGTGTTGTGCGAACAGTATTGAGTACTTTTAACGTCTGTGTTTCATGACAGGCAAACACTTGGGCTAACTAGAGTCACTCATGCTTTCAAAAAGAGCCTTGGTTTGTCACTGCCCAGTCTTATGTTAATTACCACAGATTAAAAAAATTCACAAGCAATACAGAGTGAAAACACCAGGGATAAGATCATATTTTGCTTAGAAACAGCAGAGGCAACACTGTAATTGAATAAACAATTTGTTGTGAATTACATGTTTTGCTTTAGTGATTATCCAGGCAAGCAGGGCAGTCACCCTCTGTTTTCTCTTTACAGTGTACCTGAGTTCAGTGCTTGCTCGCAGTTCAGAGAGTTTGGTGGTTTGTTGTTTGGTTTGGTTTGGTTTTTCTTTAAACAAAATCCCATCACCTTCCATACACCCCGCCCCGTTACTTGGTGCGTTGGCAGTGCCATCAGTGACGCTAAACAAGCATGGCTGCTGAAGGCACTGTCATGGTGCCAGATCTTGGAGCAGTCGACCCAAACAAATCTCCGGCTCAGATTTATTTGCAGCACTACTAGGAAAAGTGGGCTCTTAAGAATAAAATTGATACAGAAAGTGTGCAGCCTTGTTCGTGTTTGAAACCAGTGAGGCTGTGTGTACTGAGAACAGTTGCGTTTGCTCATCCAAGCCTCAACAGGCAGATACAGCTGTTGTGCTGCTCCTGGGAGGCTGAGTGCTAGGACAGCGCCGTGACTCACCCTCACTGCTCCTCTGCGCAGACACCTGCTCTGGGGAGAAAAATTACTGCAGCCCTTCCAGCCTAAGTGGAGGCTCTCCTGGAACCTGGTTTTGTTTTCTGTGGTAGCGGGTGATACAGGGTCATCTGCTTTTTGTACACATATAATGACTGTGCAAGCCTTTCACTGTCTTCTCTGCATAAAAGCCAAGATAGGAGCAGCCACAGTTCGGCAGTACAGAGAAGCGAGGGCTGCATTTCCCTTTTGTTGGTTGTTTCATGCTGCCATTAAGGTAATAACAAAAAAAAAAATAATCTAGCTTGTAACAGCCTCTCACCATAGGTCCATATTCCAAGATACACTGATCAAACCTTTTGATCATTTTAAAATTGGTTCCCTGCAAAATAATATCTTCTCTGATGCGCAGAAGCTTGTGTGCAATGCTCACTCCTCACGGTGCTTTTTCAGACTTGAGCCAGACTGTGCTGTGATGTGAGCTGAGCAGCTCAGCACATGTTATTCCCTAGGGCATAATGAGTGCTGGCAGGACCATTTTTTTTTTGTATTTCTATCCTAGTTCACTGCTAATTATATAACCTAGAACTTATTGCTCCTCTTTTTTCCCTTTTATTACTTGCGTTTCTCCCTGTTACCTCTCACAATTCTTCCTCTTTAATAAATGACATTTTAATTTGCATTTTCATTATTAAAAACCCAAAACAACCCAAATCTAACATTGTAAAGATCTTTTGCTCAAAAGAAATTATTTTAATTAGGCCATCTCTAGAGTTACTGTATTTTAATGTACAATGGGAGATGCTTTCCTCATATGGAAGAAGGGGAGTACCAATTATTGGAGTAAAAACAATGGTAAAAAAATTTAAAAATGTGTTAAACCAGAGCGTATTTTTTTGATACTAACCACACTGGTTTGACTCATGCCCTCACCTATCTATTGAAAGCTGCAGGTATTAAGGTATTTTTTAGAGCTAGAATAAAAAAATGATAAAAATATGGGAAGGAATTCATATTTTCACTGAGGCAGTTGCTGTGTGGTTGGACACATGCTGGTACCAACTGCTGTAGCTGCCATCCATTTGTAGCTTCCCCTTCTTTCCCTTCAGTCATTTTTAACAGTTGGTCTTTCGTACGGTAGGACTTTGAGAGAAGCAGTCTGCAAAGAGGGGCACAAATCTGCCGCTGTACAGAGACAGCAGAGACTGCAATTATGTGCGGGCAGGCTGTAGGCTCGGGCCAGCTGTTAGGGCACAGGCGCAAGGTGACAGTGTCATGAAAGAGGCCAAACAGCGACAGAGCTGCTGGTCTCTCTCTGCTGCTTTGGCGTCATTCAGCCAGGGCAAGTGGGGAGGAACACGTCTGTCCTGCCCCTGCAGCACAGCACAGTATTCACTTCGAATACTAAAATCTAGCAGTAAACACACGGCAATTCACATCTGACAAGTCAGGCCCCTGGCCCTCCCACACAAGCACAGAGGCACCAAAGTAAGGGTTTGACCCTACCTGCAGATTGTCGCACATCTCCTGGCTGTACGTCAGGCGCTGGATCTCTGTGGGAGAGCTGAGATACAAAGCTTGTCCTTCATTAGTGAAACAAAAGGTCCGCGCTATCCTCATGTCTGTTACAGGCAAATAGTTGATGTCCAGCAGTGGGCGAAGGCTGGGCAAGCTGCAGAGAAGCAGATGCCTAGGTTAGTCACCAGTTGCCATACACAGTACACCTGCTCTGTGGCTGCATTTTAAACCAACGTTTAAGTTTATGCTTTTCATAACTGGAATAGTTTAAAAGTGCAGCTTTAAGCTGAAAAATTCTGCCACAAACACACTGCCTTCCCAGCATACTTTGTTTCCTTGCACAGAGAAGTTTCAGCTGCCTTGCCTCAACGATCCTGAGGCTTCTGCCACCGTCTAGGTTTGGGATGTGCATGTGGCACTGTATGGCTTGTGCCACGTGGCTGGGCAGTTTGCGGGGTAAGGCCTGCCCCCGGTTATCACATGGGCATCTGCAAAAAACGGCATGGCAGGGCCCTGCTTTCTCCCTGTGGACAAAGGCTCCAGCATCGCCTTTGCTGTCCTCCAGCTTCTCTTGTTTTGCTGCTTTGGACAGCACCTTCCAAAATTTACACAGCCTGGCCGGGGAAAGGGGGTGCAGCAAGGTGAGGGCACAGCTGCAGAGTCAGCTCACCAGTGGCGATGACAAGGAAGGGGAACAGGGTGCTCTGAGCAGAAAATCATCCAAAACAGCAAGAGTGGGACTTGCTACCATAAACAGTACCCTTTCTGTGCCCGAGTTTTTCTATCCTCCTCTATATCTGACCTACCATAACTGAACAAAATTATCAGGGTTTTCTTTTACACTAGTTAAAAAATCATCAGTGATCAGTTGTCATGGGTGGGGGATTACCATCAAAAAAAGGAGTTTGCTTTGCTGTGTGGCCACCTTAACTCCCCATGTGGAGACAGGCCACGGAACAGGTATGGCAGCAGGCAAGGCAGGGCATTAAACGCACCCACCAAGGAGTTAATGCAGAGCATCGGGCACTCTGGAGCAAACCCAAGTGGAACATGACGGCACTGTGCCACCTCTTTGCTTAGTTTTGCCGCAAGATTATTTAGATAAGTACCTCAGTGTCATGATGTGCCCATTGGCACAAAAGCACGCCAGACAGACGCTGTTACAGAGGGTGACCACATCTGCTCGCAATAAAAAGGACGTTTCGGTGATGTTGTGGACATAAAGACATGTTTGGGAAGGCAATGAGAAGACTTTGGCTTGTTTTTCTGAACAAATGACTGCAAATTGATGATCACCCATATCCTGGGAGGAGGAAGGGGAATGCATGACAAGTTTCCTTTTCCTTGTTTTTTCACCATCATCAGCACTGTGTGGGTCCCTCCATACTTCATATGGTGGATGTGTCAACGTCCCCGTGCAGTCCAAGCACGCGAAGGTCAGAACGGCTCCTTTCAGTGTCAGAACTGTGCCTGCAAAATATAATTTCCTCTCACTGACGCTGGCCCCACAATTAAACTGGTTGTCAGTCCTGTGAACATGTGCAGCACAGCTGACATTCAGCTTTTGTAAACAGAGCAAACGCGTTAATCTAGCTAAGGTGAGAAGCCTTGCTTGCTCAGTTCTTCCTGACCACACGAGAAGGTGAACAAACAGGCTGCCACTACGGAAATAGTCTCAGGCAGTCGATATAAAATAACGTATAAGCCGATATACAAATAATGTATATAATACATGCTATTGAATACCATAAAGATAGGCTGTTGTTTATCTCTACATTATACTAGTAAGATATTTATTCTCCAGCAGTAAAATTGCTCTTCTTAGCCTAGTGACCTTCCAGCACTGTCTTTCTAAACCAGTCGGGGATGGGAAACCTCTATTCCTCTGCATTCTCTGACTTTTGTCATTATTTTACTTTAAACATCCTAAGCGCATACTGCCTCTCCTCAGACCTGACCTCTCTCAGCCCTCTGTTCTCTCCACTACGCCATCTGTCACTCACTCAGCCAAGGATCTCTCCTGGTACATCAACCTGCCAACATTTTTGTTTCCTTTCCCGAACTCCCTTCTGCTTCTCTGCAGCTTTCTGATAGTAAGACAGCCAAACTGCTTGCAGCATCCCAGCCAGGACTGCAGCAGAGATGTACACAGGACTGTAATTTCACTGTATGAGGAACTCTGCTGATTTCCCTGTCCTCACAAGGGACATGTAACTTTGCCCATGACACAAGGTAATCTCCAGAACCAACACAACCAAAATGTTTCAGTTGATGAAGCTGTGGGTCTCTCACGGGCATCTTTACCTGTGTGCCCTCTATGTAGTGAGTGACCATTGCTTGATACATGTATTGAGAAATGTCTGCCCAAAAGGCCATACAAAATCATGCAGTTTTTCCCCCTGCTGTACCAAGACAGATAGTAAACAAGAAAAGAGCTCACTCTTACCACTTGGCGACACCATGACTGGTTCTGACTGCCGTAAATCGTCACTAGCAGGCAGATTAAGGGAGAGGATTAAGACCATACCGAGGCCCGTTCCAACCCAGAGACAGGGGGAGACAGCAGAGTCATTCTTTCGGGCGAAGGACTCCATGAAGTACAAAGCAGTAATTGCCTCCTTTGAGTCCCTGTCGATACTGGACACACTGGAGCTTCGGGAACGGCTGAAGGAGTTCTCCCTATTTTCTGCATAAATAAATACAAGCAAACAGGCATAAATTGGCAATCTTAGAACAGACACAAACCTGAAACTAATATAAACTCCCTGTAGAGTACAGAAAATACAGAGTTTTGGTAACCTGAGCAAACATTCTGACGATACTAGCACGATACCAGCTTGCTGCCAGTGTATAAATAAGTGTGGAAAATGCTGTCAGACCTCATCAGTTAGATCTGCATTAGAAATAGCTGCTTATTATGGAGATTAGCATAGACTAATTAGAATTTACAACAGCCTTAGCTCAAAGGACTTGTTCTAAATAGCGTGAAATAATTTTAGATCCATATGTTACCAATGCATTTAAAATTAATCCATGTATCTCATTGCTGCAGGACATGAAGGGAGACACCATTACAAACTTCAGAGCATGTGTCCTTTGCTCTGCTCTTGTTTCCATCGCTAGGACGTGCTAGCGCTGCGTTCACAGCCATCGTTTATTGTCAAGCTATTAATAACTGCTCTCTGGGGAAAAGACACCCATTGCTAAACTGATCTCAGCATCCAAAATGTCTGAGGGGACAAATCAACCCTGGCTTCCCAGGGGGTGAAGTGAAAAACCTGCTCTGCGCTCTTGGCAACAACTGCATAGTGATCCGGCACTGACCGGTTCATCTTTCTGCCTAAGCTTTAGCAGGCAACAGCGAGAGCCAGCGAGATCTGGAGCTGTATTGTCCTCACTGCAAATACATTGGTACGGAGACTGTCTCTGAGCTTTTCAGAGAGAAATAACAACGAACAGGGTCTGACTGCTGTAGGGCTAAGGAGCTCTGCTTTGCCTTGCCTAGTGCCAGGCAGGAAGCACAAAGTTGTGTGAGGGAGTTCCTGGCATCAGCAGGACCTGTCAGTGGCAACACATCGGAGGCTATAAAGCGCTCTGAGGTTAAAAAGTTACCAAAGAGTAAAGAAGCCAGAGGGAAGAAAAGAGTAATGCTGGCTGCTAGCACAGTCTTTGCAAAACAGTTTGTGTCAGTGCTGCTGTCTACCAACCTGTAGTCAAAACCAGGGCTAGATCATTGGAAACCTCACATGCTCTTCTGCAACAGTAACAACTGGAGGACCAGGAGGTTCTGGAGACGGAGAAATAGTTGAAGGTATTGGACCTGAGAGAAAAGGCTTGCTTCTGAATCTATCATTATGAAGTAGATCTGTGTCTAGCATAAAATTTTCCTTCTTACAGCTCAGGAGAGAGAGCTGTCTCTTCAGAGCTAGTAGAAATGTCTAAAAAGAATACTTTCTGCCATGGTTGAAGAATAAAATTAGGCAAGGACTTTCTCATGTACTCCAACTTAAAACTGGGCTAAGCCTCGTACAGTATATATGGTACCTGCTCTCCACAAGAGCAGTAGTTTTGCTGGTGACTCTCTTGCTCAGACAACGTATTGCAGCATTGTATTCCCCTACCCAGATGACTCAGTGTAAACTGCTGAAATTATCCTCTTCACAGCAACTACCTGGAAAAGACTGGAGAGAACCATGGCAAAACACTACTGGAACCACCCCAAGTGTTACTACATATGATACCTTAAAAGCTGGCACACAGGCATGGGGGCAGGTTCTCCTGCTACTCTTTCACAGTCAGGCAAGCTTCTGTTCTTTGAGGGCATCTGTCACTTGTCAAACAGGAGCTTCACCGGATTGTCGTCCCTGGCACTTCGGTCCCACTCTCATGGAAGAGAAACTTAGGTCTGCTTGAACTTCCACGCACTGCCCTCACCTCGTTTCACCTTCACGTAAGCACTGTTCTAGCTCTCTAGTTCTGCCTCAGTACTGCTAAATATATCTGCGTAAAACTGGGATTGTTTATTCATGTGCAAACACAGCTTCTAATACCTTGGGAATTAGTGTCTCCCATAACCCCAAGCACTTTGTACTTCTCCTGCAGCTGACTGGTTGGCCCAGCTCCTTCCTAAGCACAGTGACAGCTGCCAGGTAAAGAAGGGGAAGACAGTAATTTCACGGCAGAGATCATCAGGGCTCCACATATATATTTTTCTCTTTGCCCAAAGGTTATCTAATTTTTAAAAAATGCTATTATGTAATTAATTTTCTCTTTAACAGGTGTATTAATACCACAGTCACATAAAATTCAAATATGGTGATGCTCAAACTGAGAAAAATTTTGAAAGGACAAATGCAGTTAGTGTAGGCGACATACATGGAACTTAAAATATATGATGTGCCATTTGCATGTGTCATCAAGCTTTCTCCCTCCCTAAATTAACAAGAAATGTTCCTCGCTCCTGTGCAGTACAGTTAACCAATACATCTTTGCAGAACTGACACTAACAGATACAATCTTTGGGACACTTTTGGGAACATACTGTGCCATTTTCTATTAAATACACTACTCAAACTAAAAGTCTAAAGACCAGTACGACACATGTCAAAATCTGATCTCACTAAACATGTCTGAATATCAACGCAAAACCTATGAAAGGCTGCAATCACTATGTGACTTTATTGGCTAGCTCTAAAGCAAGGTAGAAATCTCTCCTCTTCCTAAATTTTGGGATAAAATTTAGTTTAGGCCTGTTCTCTGAGCCTCCTTTCTCAAAGAGATTATACCCCAAATTCTCTATTTAGAAACCATGCCATTGTATCCTAGAGAAACATAAAAGCACTTTCTTTGGGCAATTTAAAAACCTTGCCATATCCTTTCCTAGCATAATTGCTATGTTTTAAAATGATGTCCCATCTTCTAAAAGTTGACCTGTATGAACACTGCCAACCTGTAGTAATCCTTAACCCAACCACCATATTCTCAGTTTTCTCTTATATTTTCCTTTTCTCACACTGCATGATGGGCATAGCCAGAATGTCAGCTACAACATCTTTCTGCACAAGTCTGAACCAGGACCACTTCCAGGTACTCCCTGTAACCTAGGTCAAACAAAGCTTATTTGGACTCCCTGCTTCAATAAGGGGACAGGACGTTGATGTGTGAAAGGCAGATACTTTTCTGCTCCTCACTTCTCTT